TTTAAAACTCATGAGGGCCATTATGATTTCCTGGTTATGCCATTTGACTTAACAAATGCTCCATCTTCTTTTTAAAATCTCATGAATTCAAATTTCAAACCATTGCTAAGGAAGACAATATTAGTTTTCTTTGATGATATTCTAATATATTGCAAGGGTATGTCTGACCACATTGCACATGTGAAGGTTGTTTTTGAACTAATGAACAAATTCCAATTGTATGCTAAGATGTCTAAGTATGCATTTGGAGCCTCTAAAGTGGATTATCTAGGCCATTTTATCAGTCAAGAAGGGGTCTCTACATATCCTAAGAAAATTGCAGCAGTAGAACAGTGACTTATTCCTACTAATGTCAAATAGCTAAGAGGTTTCCTAGGTCTTGCTAGGTATTATAGGAGGTTTATACAAGAATATGGAGCCATATGCAGGCCATGCCCAAGAAGGATGGCTACACATGGAAATCTGAAGCTACTGCAACATTTGGTAAGCTGAAACAAGCATTGATCTCTGCCCCTGTGCTGGCAATGCCTGACTTCTCAAAGCCTTTCTTGGTGGAGACTAATGCAATTGGTAAGGGCATAGGAGCTGTAATTATACAACAAGGGCACCCTATAGCCTACATCAGCAAATCACTGGCACCTAGACACAAAGCAATGTCTGTTTATGATAGGGAACTATTAGCTCTCATATTTGCTGTCACTAAATGGTCACATTATCTCTTGGGAAGACCATTTATAATAAAGACTGATCAGAAAGCTTTAAAACACTTATTGGAGCAGCATATCCATACGGACTTTCAAATAGCTGGCATTTCAAAGTTGATGGCTTTTGACTTCTCTATTGAGTATAAGAATGGGGCTAAAAATAAAGTTGGTGATGCTTTGTCAAGGAAGCCTAATTCTGAATTACTAGCTATCTCTTTATTATCTTCCAATGATTCACTATATGATCAGATAAAAGCAACTTGGACTTCTGATGATCACCTGCAGAAGCTGATTGCTAAGTTACAGAACCAGCCTTATAAATCATTCACCTAGAACAATGATCAATTAAGGTGGAATGGTAGATTGGTGCTAGGTGATGATCAGCAACTCAGAGCAACTATCATTGGTTTATGGCATTCCACTACATATGCTGGACACTTTGGTATGTATGCTACATTAAAGAGGTTGCAATCTCTTTTCTATTGGAATTCAATGGCTGCAGATATAAGGGATTTCATCAACAAGTGTGATGTATGCCAAAGGCACAAGTATGATGTTGCTGCTTACCCTAGTCTGCTACATCCACTTCCTATTCCTGATGGAGTGTGGACTGACATCTACTTAGATTTTATTGAAGGTTTGCCTAAATTTCATGTCAAGGATGTTATTCTAGTTGTTGTGGATATACTCAGTAAGTATGAGCATTTTATGAGCCTGCAACATCCATACACTACTCAGACAGTGGCCCAGACTTTCCTCGATAATGTTTACAAATTGCATGGCTGGCCTGTTACTATTACAAGTGATAGGGATCCAATGTTTCTCAACAATTATTGGCAGGAATTGTTTGATTTGCAGCTACAAAGATCTCCATCATATCACCCTCATACTGATGGTAAACTGATGTTTTAAACAGAACCGTAGAGACCTATCTCGGGTGTTTTTGTTCTGATAGTCCTCATGATTGGCCTAAGTACTTACCATTAGCCTAATGGTGGTATAACACCATATACCACACTGCTATTAAATGCAGTCCTTATGAGATATTGTATGGCCAAAAGCCACCACTCCATCTCCCTTATCTAGCCGGAGAAGTTGCATCAGAGATGATTGATAGATCATTAGCTGCTAGAGAAGCTATTATTAAGCTACTGAAGTTCCACATTTTGAGAGCATAACAGAGAATGAAGGACTTAGCTGAAAAGCATAGGTCTGATAGAAGCTTTGAAGTAAGGGTTTGGGTTTATCTCAAATTGCAGCCATACAGACAGATTTCAGTTGCCACTAGGCCATTCAACAAGTTAGCTGCTAAGTACTTTGGACCCTATCTTATTGATGCCAAGGTTGGAGTTGTTGCTTACAAACTCCTGTTTCCTGCTGATATCTTGATCCATCACACCTTCCATGTATCCCAACTAAAAAAAGTGCCATGAAGTTCCTGCTGTCATCAATCATCCTCATGTGTTTCACCTTTCTAGTCCCTACTGTCCATTGCCTGAAGAAGTCCTAGCAAGAATATGGTGAAGAAGGGTAACAAGGTTGTCGTACAAGTGCTGGTGAAATGGACAGATATTGATCCCGCTCAAGCTACCTGGGAATATCTTTAAGAACTTCAACACAGATTTTCTACATTTCAGTCTTGAGGACAAGAAATTTTTCTATAGGGGGTATTGTTGCAATTATTAGTGATGATACTTAGCTGCTGTCGTTAGTACTTAGCTCAGAGCATTAGAGTTAGTTACAGCGCTAAGCAGTTAGTTACATTGTAGAAGCTTCCAGAAGTTAGTTAAAGTCACAGTCTGTTACAGTTAGTTAGAGTAATGGGAATCCTTGAGTTGAGATCTTTCATATATAGAGTGTAATATGTACAATGGATCCATTCATTAAAATAACACTCTACTCTTACTCTTAGCTCTTCTTAAGCTAAATTCTCGGTGCTATCCTGATTCTAGTTCATTGTTCATCGAAATATTGCATTTCCTAGATCAATTTTCTCTTTGAATGCACTATGTGCATCATGTTGGTTCAGTTACAGTACATGACAGGGAAAGTGAAACTGAAACTGAGTCAACAAAGAAGCCAACTGGGAGGAGATCAAAGAGAACCCGAAGAATGTTCATATCAGAAGAATCAATGGAAGTGAAAGGAGAAATCAACTGAATTTGAACCTGAACCTGAACCAGTGAGTTCGTTTTCCGATACTTCTCCTGAAGAAGACATTACTATTTATCTAATGATTCTTTCTAAAGATGTATGGAGAGTTTATATAAGTCTGACTAGTCAAAATTTAGAAATAAAAAACAAGGGAAGTACCAATGTGAGATTTGTAACAAAGTATTAAAATCATCTCAAGCTTTAGGCAGTCATAAAACAATTCACAAGAAGAACTCTTACATTGAAGACAAAAACGAAGGGATCAAGTCAAATGAAAATTTGAGACAATTGAGATTGAAGAATGCGGATCAGAAAGTGCATGAATGCCCGTTTTGTGGAAAAATATATGGGTCGGGTCTGTTAAGTTTAGAATTTTAATAATGATCAATAATCTAAAAAAAGCCTTGACTAATGACATCTCTTTGTATGCAGATTTGGTAAGCAACAATATTGATAAAAGGAAAGAAGATCCTATTCAATGGCTATGTATTTTGAACGTTGCTTTACTTGAAAAATGAATCAATCAGTCAAAGAACAAAGAAGTCAATCAGTCAGGCTTTTCAAAGATTCTCAAGCGTGCAAGAATGAAAAGAGATCTAATCAAGGCTAGAGATTAAATCCAGAAGATTCAACAGAAGCTTAAATCAAGGAGGAATGAAGGAAACAATTCTTCAAGATTAAGAATGAATCTAGCTACCATTTCAAGCTAGATTCATGAGGCTACCCTTGGGTCTTTCTCTTAGATGTATATGCCTCACAAGGAAAGGACTCCTAGAATTGCTGTCATGCAATCCCAGAAGACAAGGAAACAAAAGACTCATCATGCTATATAGGAAGAAGTAGAAGAACATCCAAAGGCACGCAACTACATCATATGTTTCTAAGCCTTTCTATTTCTTAGTACAAACACCGTATTCCTGAGTCTACAAGTGTCACAAAAGATAGGAAGAGTTAGAACACAAAACGAGAGTTGTGTCAACATTGGAAAGAATCACTGTTGTTGTATATCGTTGGTGGTAAACGTACTAAAATCATCACTGCTGTAAACATTCATTAAAGATCTAAGAGAACTCTTGTGACCCAAGGGAACAGGACGTAAGTACCACACCTGTACTGAACCAATATAAAAATTGTTGTGTCTTCTTTACCTTTCTGTTCATTTAGTTTATCTCTATTGAAATCAATCACTGCGCAAAGTCTAGTCGACTAAACTCATACTTAGTCAACTAAGGATTTTTAAATCGATTACAATTCACCCCCCCCCCCCTCTTGTACTTTCAATTGGTATCAGAGCGAGACTCACGAATATTGCTTAACAGCAAGTGAGAAAAAGGTCATGGCATCAAATACAATCGTTGGAGCACTATTTCAAGAAGGAACATCTCAAATACGACCCCGGTACTTCAATGGCCAGCACTTCTCTCACTAGAAAGTGCGCATGGAGACCTACACTATGGCATATGACATTAAGGTTTGGCGTGTGATAAAAAAGGGAAATCTTCCAACTCCGCCAAAGAAGGATGCAAACGGTCAAATCATAATATCATCTGACCCTCTTGATTTAGATGATTATACTGAAGAACAATCAGTCGTTATTCAAGTGAATGCCAAGGCAAACATCTGTTGTACAATGCTATCAGCGGGGAAGAATACGAAAAAATATCAAGTTGTGAAACTGCAAAGGAAATGTGGGATAAGTTAGAAGCCACATATGAAGGAACCAACAAAGTGAAAGAAACAAGGATAAATCTCCTAGTTCTAGACTATGAATTGTTTCAAATGAAGGATGCAGAATCAGTGGAGGGAATGTTTTCTAGATTCAGCAAAATCATTGGAGACTTAAAATCATTTGGTAGATCAATCAAGAGTAGGGAACAAGTCAGAAAAATTCTGAGGAGTCTTCCTACAATCTGGCAACCGAAAGTCATTGCACTGGAAGTCAGGATCTTGACAAAAAGTCCTATGATGAACATAGAGGTGATCTAATTGCGTTTGAGAAAACACACTTAGACAGGCGTGTTCAACAAAAAAAAGAAGAAGATAGTTGCATTCAAAGCAACTATGGCTGAATCAGAAAATGAAGAAGAGTAAGGAGAAGAACAAGATGGAAACATAGCTATGCTCTCCAAAGTTGTAACAAACATGATGAGGAAAAACATAAATAGCAGGAAAGGTAAATCAAAATTCAGAAAAGGGAAGATGAACAATGCTAATGATAAAAATGATGGAAGATGCTACGAGTGTGGAAAACATGGACACATTCAAGCCGAATGCCCTGAACTGAAAAAGAAACTAAGCAGGAACTTTCAAAAGAATAAGTCCTTTGGAGCTTGGAATGATGAAGAAGAATCTGATCACGAGGAAATTGCCAACATGTGTTTCATGGCCATGAAAGAAGATAGCAGTGAGTACTCAGGTGAACTTGGTCTCATGGAAGACGAAGGAACAGGTGAGGATGAGGACTCAGGTGAACTTGGTCTCATGTCAGACGAAGGAACCAGTAAGGTACGTCTTCCTACATGTCCTAACTATTATGAACTCCAAAAGTTTATTAATATTGCTCTTGCAGATATTGAGAGAGTTCTAAACAAACTTAAAAAAAAAATCAAAAGAGAAAAGAAAGACTGGGCTTTGAAGTTGGAAGTGTGTGAAATTGAGCGAGATATGCTTCAAGATGAAGTTAATGAACCTCAACTTCAACTGAATGGATTGCGAAAATCCACCAGTCATAGTTCTGTTAGATCGAATAAAATTTCTCCTCATACATCTCCGACTAGAACTAGAAAGGCTCTCAAAATCCCAATAATCCCTCTTGTTTTTATTGCGGAAACTCGGTCACACTTCTAACCATTGCAGGTTCAAGAACAACAGGAGATGGGTCTGGTGACCCAAGTCTTCTAGTCAAGCTAATACTCAGAGGTTTAACCATTCAGGACCCAAGCAAGCTTCGGTACCTAAAAACAAATAATCTTTTTTTGCAGGAACACCACAAGAAGAATCAAAAAGGAAAATGGTACCTTGATAGCGCGTGTTCTAAATATATGACTGGTGACAAACAACTATACAAAACGGTCACCAAACTAGATGGAAGAACAATCACCTTTCGAGATAAATCAAAAGGAAATGTAATTGGAGTTGGAAGAGTTCCCCTCAGCTCAACATGTGGTGTAGACGAAGTGTACCTTGTTGATTAACTTGGTTACAATCTTCTCAATATCAGTCAACTATGTGACAATGACTACGAGGTTTGTTTCAAAAAACATGGTTGGTTTGTTGAAGATGAATCAGGTAAAGTTATTCTCTCTGGAAATAGTGACAGGAATGTCTATACTATTAGTAACTTAGATAGTCTTTGTAACCAAATCTGTCTAGCTTCTATGATTGATGATCATTGGGTATGGCATAGAAAACTTGGTCATGCCAGCATGCATACTATTCAGAAACTTTCCAAAAATGATCTCGTCATTGGTCTTCCAAAACTAGATTTTTCAAAAGATAAAATTTTTGAAGCATGTTAACTAGGAAAACAAACCAGATCCTCTTTTAAAGTTAAAAACATTGATTCTACTACAAAGCCTCTTCAACTCCTGCGTATGGACCTGTTTGGTCCCACTAGAACTGCTAGTATAGGTGGTAGAAAATATGCTTTTGTTATAGTAGATGATTTTTCTCGATTCACCTGGGTTATCTTTCTAGGTCATAAAGATGAGGCATTAAGGAATTTTGAAGTCTTTTGCAAGAAGGTGCAGCGGGAAAAAGGTTACTACATATCCTCCATAAGAAGTGATCATGGAGAAGAATTTGAAAGCAAAGCATTTGAGAACTTCTGCAGTGATCAAGGGATATCTCATAATTTTTCATCTCTAAGATCACCACAACAAAATGAAGTGGTAAAACGTAAAATTAGAACCTTGCAAGATATGGCAAGAACCATGATTGTGAAAAATTCTGTTCCACACCACTTCTGGGCAGAAGTTGTAAGCACAACATGTCACATCATCAACAAATGCCTAATTCGACCTATTCTCAAGAAGACTCCATACGCACTATGGAGAGTAAAAAGACCCAACATCAGTTATTTTCATCATTTTGGCTGCAAATGCTTCATACATAATAATGGAAAAGACATTCTTGGTAAGTTTGATTCCAAAAGAGATGAAGGTATTTTTCTTGGATACCCTCCCTCTAGTAGAGCATATAGGGTTTTTCATAAGCATACTTTATCTATTGAAGAATCAATATATGTTATTTTTGTGGACACTAACCCTCGCTTAGGAAATGAACAACTTCCTGAAGATGAGGAAATTTCCATAGTTCCAAAGTCTATCAATACAGATGAGAACACTCTTGATAAAGTGATTGATCAGCAAGATCAGTCGATTAACAGTCCTATAGAAAATCAGCGATCTTCTACAACTGATCCAACAAATTCTGTTGAAAAGGAGCCAGTATTAATTGTTCCAAATGAATGGAAAAGTGAGCCTGGATATCCACATAAGTATATCATTGGAAACCCTCAAGAAGTAATAAAAACTAGAAGATCACTAAAGCAGACATCGAATGTTGCTCTCATATCCCAGTTCGAACCAAAAAAGGTGGATGAGGCACTTGGGGACAAAGGCTGGATAACTGCAATGAAGAAAGAGCTTGATCAATTTGAGAAAAATAAGGTATGGGAACTCATTCCTAAACCACCAAATACATCCATTGTTGGAACAAAATGGGTGTACAGAAATAAGTTGAATGAATCTGGATAAGTTATGCGAAATAAAGCTAGACTGGTCGCACAAGGTTATTCACAACAAGAGGGAATTGATTACGAGGAGACCTTCGCCCCCGTTGCCAGGTTAGAATCAATTTGTATTCTATTATCCTATGCTGCTCACAAATGTTTTAGACTATTTCAGATGGATGTGAAAAGTGCTTTCATAAATGGGTTCATCTATGAGGAAGTTTTTGTTAAACAACCTCCAAGATTAGTAAATGAATCCTTTCCAAATCATGTCTACAAATTGTCCAAAGCGGTCTAAAGCAAGATCCTAGAGCTTGGTATGAAAGGCTGAGCTCATTTAGTCGAACATGGGTTTAACAGAGGTAATATTGATATTTTTATCAAACGATCATCTCTAGGTAATTTAATTTTACAAGTCTACGTAGATGATATTATTTTCGGCAGCACTAACCCTGTCTTGTGCAAGGACTTTTCAAACATCATGAAAGGGGAATTTGGAATGAGTATGATGGGGGAACTAACTTTCTTCCTTGGGCTCAAATCAAGCAAGTACAGAAAGGGATCTTCATTAGTCAAACAAAATACACAAAAGAACTCATCAAAAAATTTGGCATGTCCAACGCAAAGGCCATAGGAACACCTATGAGTGCATCAACTACCTTGGATGAAGATAAAGATGGTAAGAGTGTTGATGAAATAATTTATCGAGGTATGATTGGCTCCCTACTCTATCTTACAGCTAGTCGACCAGATATTATGTTCAGTGTTTGCAAAAGTGCAAGATATCAGTCAACTCCTACAGAATCCCACTTGACTGCTATTAAACGTATTATCAGATATTTGATAGGGACAGTCTACTATGGATTATGGTACGAAAGTTTAGATATTTTTTATCTTAAAGGTTTTTCAAATGGAAATTTTGCAGGAGATAAAATTGACAGGAAAAGCACAAGTGAAACGTGCCAATTACTTGGAAAATCTCTTATATCCTGGCACAACAAGAAACAAAGTTGCGTAGCCCTATATACTATTGAAGTGGAATATTGGCAGTAGGCAACTGCTGCACACAAGTATTATGGATTATGCATCAACTATTAGATTATGATTTACGTCTTAACTGTGTTCCTATTATGTGTGATAATACTAGTGCTATCTGTCTATCAAAAAATTATGTGCATCATTCTAAGCTAAGCATATTGAGATTATTCATTATTTTATACGCGATCATGTTGCTAAAGGTGATATTGTGTTAGAATTTATAAATACTGAAAATCAGTTAGCGGATATTTTTACAAAACCTTTGCTTGAAGAAAGATTTTATTTCCTTCGTAACAAAATTGGTATTTGTACAATTCACGTATAATTGTGCTTAATATTTTTCATAATTGTCTAAGTTTAATTTTTGTCCATATATTTTCTCATAATTTTTTCCCCAAAAATATTTTAAGTACTTGATTAGTCTGTACATGTATTAATTGTGAACTGACGGCGGGCTTGCAGAAGGCAACTTTTCAGTTGCCCTTCACACGTCTCTTCGAGAATCGAGGCGTCCTCTCAAACCCTTTTTAACCCCTTCTCCCTCGATCATATCTCCTATTCTCTCAAAGAAACTCAATCTCTATCTCTTTGTTTTCTTTTACTCATGGCCAAAACCAAACCCTCTCCTTCCTCCTCCATGCCCAAAAGAAGCCATCGCTTCAAGAAACCAAAGATGATCCTGTTGATGTAGAATCCTCAGAAAGCACAGACCATCTACTGACCGAGAAAGATTCCAATGATTCTCAAGAAGACATTCTTATCTCCCAAAAGAGGGCGGAAAACGACCAATGGAGTCCATCCCTAAAGAATCTTCTCAGAAAAGGGGAAAAACTGAAAATGTAGAGTTTGGCCCTGAAGATAGGATGAACTTCTATGGCCCTGAAGAGAAGGCTAGGTTTATTGACTTCAAAGGAAAGTCGATTGCATTTGGCCGCACTGTAATTTTAAAGTGTATGCAAAACTCTCACTGTGATGTTATGCCTGTTTTCGAAACTCAGAAACTTGTCTCTCTATTTGCTACAGTTGGTGATACTATCTATGAAGAGCCTGTGCGTATGTTTTATGCAAATCTGTGTTTGAATGATAAAGATGATCTGGAATCCATGGTTTTAGGAACTCGTATCATTCTTGACTCTTATCAGTTTGAGAAAATCTTTGCAACAAAGTTTGTTGGGTACATTATCTTTGTGCAACACTCCTGGCCAGATAATTTTCAAGTGTCGTGTAACAGCCCAGCCCGCTAGTGATATTGTTCGCTCTGGGCCTAGGCCCTCACAGGTTTAAAATGCGTCACTAGGGTCTAAGGCCTGTTAACTTATATACCCAGCATCCCTCTTATGTTTTGCCGATGTGGGGCTCTGTCTAAAGCCTGGGGTGTTACATACACCCCCTCTTATGGACTCAGCGTCCTCGCTGAGGTTTTCCCCACTGCATGGGATTTGCCTAGACTCAGCACTGAGGTTTGCCCCGCCTAACCGGGATTTGCCTAAACTCAGTTGAACTCTGACCCACCATCGGCAAGGCTGACACAAGAGTGGCTCTGATACCATCTGTAACAGCCCAGCCCGCTAGTGATATTTTCCGCTCTGTGCCTAGGCCCTCACGGGTTTAAAATGCGTCACTAGGGTCTAAGGCTTGTTAACTTATATACCCAGCATCCCTCTTGTGTTTTGCCGATGTGGGACTCTGTCTAAAGCCTGGGGTGTTACATGTCGTTTGAGGAAGCCAAGAGCGTATTTTCTGAAAACCCCCCTGATATAGGTCTAAAATTTTTGAAATTTGAACACCGTGTTCTAGCCCACATTATTGTTACCACTTTGCTACCCCGTACTGATTCACTGAGTACTCTGTCTCTCAGAGATGTGTTTGTTCTGTATTGTTTGGTAAATGGAAAGCTATCAACTGGTTTTCCTGAGTACGTTAGTACATGCTTGAAAGCATTAGGGATGTCTCACCTTCCGCAAACAGTTTGCCCTATGGTTTACTAATCTCTCACATCTTGAAAGTTATTAAAGTGGATCTGTCTCTCTATGCTCCTAAAACTATCTCCAGCATCTATGACAAGACTGCCTTTGCCATGATGGGATATACCTTGATTGAGGGAATATGGCTTAAGAAAGACAAAGCACCGGAGTTCATCCCTCCTCAGAGCACTGGGGGGATCAAATCTGAAGCCACCAAATCCTCTTCCTCAGGTCAGCTGTTACTGATGCAGCAAAACATTGCAGGTATCAAGGAATTACTAACCTCTATGCAGGAGCAGGTGGACATGATCACGGCAATAACCAGGAAACTGGAGCAGACGTGGCTAAGCTGAGGATCACTCTCCAAGCCACAAGGAGGCAAGGGATCAGGGCCATGCTGGATGTAACTGAGAAGCTGACCAAAATCACCAAAGATATTGATGCTTCTTATGACAGTTTC